ACAGAGGTTTGTGGACTTGAACAAACTCTGAGGGGATACGATTTTACGCACAAGCAGCTCATCATCCCATCACAGCATTCCGACAGTCTTTGAAAGCAGCTTGTGCAGGAGAAGGCATCATGAGCAACCCAGCCGGAACCGGAGAAGCAGGAGCTGGAGCGGGTCCAAGCCTGGAAGAAAGGTACCAGATGTTGGAGGTCCAGCTAGCGATGCAGACGGCGAGGCTTGAGGAGAGGAGGGCTCTGGATGCAGACAAAAGGGGGAAAGCCACCCAGTTCGCCAGAAAGGTACCAGGATTGGTGCAGAAGTTTGGGGGGGAGCCCAATAACTATCATGGTTTTCGGACAGAAATGCAATATGCCCTCACTCTGCAGTTTGATGAATTCCCTGACGAGGAATCACGAGTGGCTTTCGTGATTGAGCATCTTGAAAAGGGGGCGAGAGACTGGGTTAGACCCCTGATGGCAGCTAATAGTGACGTCTTAAAGGACACGATGAAGTTCTTTCGCGCCATGGATCTGATGTTTTCCAGCGATATTGAAAAGGGAGTGGTGCGCAGACAGTTAATGGGTTGCAAACAGGGGAGCCGATCTGTCCGTGAGTACTGGACTGAGTTCACCATGCTTGTTCACAGATTGGGGTGGGACTTATCGGCGGAACCCATTCAAATGCTCTTGAAGAAGGGCTTTCTTCGGCTGTGAAAGACGAACTTTCCCGGGCGCCCAGGGCGGAGTCTATGGACCAGCTGACCAAATCAGCGCTGGCCATAGGAGCGCGCCAGGAGGCGAGAGCATTGGAGAGGCGGGAAGGGAAAGGGGAACGTTGGAAGGAGTTCCGCATTCCAGACATTCCAGAGCCAACTTTCCCACCGGCAGAGCCGATGGAAATCGGAACAGCGCGCGCGCGCAGTTTCAAAGCCCAGTGAGGGGGCAAAGAAGGAGGGAAAAGGCGCCCGGAAATGCTATCTCTGCCAACAGCCAGGTCACTTTGCCAGAGTCTGCCCCCAGAGGAAAGAATGGCAAGGGATGGTAGGAGCTGTGGATGGAAGAGAGGAAAAGATACCGGAGCAAGTAAAAGCCAACGCCTGGCTGCCACTGTCAGGGCACAGCAGCCAGGCCAAAGAGCAGTGAGAGTGCCCACGCCAGAACCTCCTAAACCCGCCCTAGTGATAGAAGTGACGCTAGAGCTGCCAAACGGACACCCTCTAAAGATAAAGGCGCTGTTGGACTCAGGCAGCTCCTGCAATTTCATGAGCAAAGAGTTTGCAGCTGAACACCAGATACAGACAATCCTTTTAAGCAGCCCCCTGCAGGTGACCACGATCGATGGCAGGGAGCTGTTGGGTGGAGAAGTCAGCTTGCAGACCGTCCCAATGATAATGAAGGTAGCAAGGCACACCGAACTGATAGCTTTTAATGTGGCCACCTTGGGAGGAGCTCCCATTATATTGGGGATGAGCTGGCTAGCGTTACATGATCCGCTGGTGGGCTGGCATCAGAGAGTGGTTTCTTTTGGTTCAGCACATTGCTTAGAACACTGCAAAGAGGGAAAGGGTTTGGCAGGGGTCCAAGCCACCCTAGCAGGGACTGAAGTAACAGAGAACGTGAAGGTACCACGACAATATGCAGATCTCCGTGACGTCTTCAGCGAAAGGGAAGCTGACCAACTACCCCCGCATAGACCCTTTGACTGTCAAATCAACTTACTCCCTGGAGCACAGCTCCCTGTAGGCAAGCTGTACGCCATGTCAGACAGAGAGATGCAGGAGTTAAGAGAGTTCATTGACAAGAACCTGAAGAGAGGGTTCATCAGAGAGTCCAGGGCGGTTGGGGGCAGCCCAGTGTTTTTTGTGGATAAGAAAAACACGAACAAGCCGAGGCTGGTGTGTGACTTCAGGGCCTTAAATGCAGTGTCAGAACCAGTAGCCTTCCCTATGCCCAGGATTGACGACATTTTGACAAGGGTGCGGAAGGGAAAGATTTTCACAAAGCTGGACCTAAGGGGGGCGTACAACCTGGTACGAATAAGGAAGGGGGATGAATGGAAAACCACTATGTTCACCCCTTTAGGGCATTTGAATATTTGGCTATGCCCTTCGGCCTACAAGCAGGCTCCGCAACATTTCAATCGTTTATGAACCACGTCCTGGGGCCTTTGCTTTACAAGAATTGTGTGGCCTTTTAGACGACGTGTTGGTGTATTCTGAGAATGAGGAGCAGCATGCGAGACACGACAGAGCACTGCTGAGCAGGCTGCAAGCCAACCAGCTGTGGGTGAAACTGGAGAAGTGTCAGTTTCATACCAAGGAGGTGGAATTCCTGGGGTATCGCCTGTCAGACAAGGGATTGGCCATGGATCCCGGCAAGGTCCAGGCGGTGCTGGAATGGAAAACACCCAAAACAAAGAAGGATGTTGTCAGGGGTTCAGGAGCAGAGGCACAGGAAAGGGAGGAAATAGAGAGCGAGGGGGAGGAGTCCGAAGGAAATGTTAGCGATGACAGCGGTCCGAGGTCTCTGAGTCTTTCCAGCGAATCGGAAGATTCACAGAAAGGGGCTCCCTTGGTCAGGAGCAAGGGGGTGCCGAGGGGGACACCCCAGGAAGAAGGGGCCAGAGGGGACTCAGAGAGCAGCAGTTGGAAATCAGGACCAGCGTCCACACCAGAGTGCAGTAGGGGGAGGGGTCCCAGGCATCGGGACTCAGGCGGCGCACTGCCAGTGGGAGGACATGAGTCAGATTGGCCACGCTCCATCGGGGAGCGAGGAAACGGTCGAGAGGAAGGTTGAAGGCTGGGCGCGCGCGCCAAGTTCAAATGTACAGGAGGGCGGCGCAGTTGGCAGCCCGGATAGGGAGCCAGGTCCCAAAGCCCGCCGAAAAGAGGGGGAGGAGTCAGGGGGGTCACGTCAGCGTCAGAAGAATCCAGGAAGGCACGGACCCCGGGGGGGTAGCAGGACCCAGAGGAGAAAGGAGAGACGTAAGAGGTGGAGTAAGGCTAGAATCTTAAACTGGTGTACAGGGGCGGAGACTCAGATGGAGCTTCGCCGATCTAACCCCTAGACGTAGAGCTGGGGCGCTGCGGCTTGAAAATGGAAACTGTACTTCAATAAAGACTTTTGTACATTACTGCCGGCTAGCGTTGGTCCTCTGTGAGCTGGGACCTGGAGCCAGCTCTGACAGATGTGCAGAGGTTCCTAGGATTTGGGAACTTCTATCGTAAGTTCATCCGAAACTTTGCCCACCTGACGGCGCCCATTACGGACTGTCTCAGCAGTAAGAAGAAGTTCGTGTGGACTGAGGAGGCGGAGCGAGCATTTGAGGAACTAAAAAGGGCCTTCGCCTCGGAACAACAACTCCTGCATGTGGATTTACAAAAACCGATGAGAGTGGAAACTGACGCATCAGACAGAGCGATTGGGGCGGTGCTTCTGCAGCCAGGCAAGAAGGGGTCAGAGGGAGACCGTGTGCCTTTTTTTCGCGAAAGCTGAACAAATCCGAGAGGAACTACACGGTGTATGACCGAGAACTACTAGCCATTCATGAGGCGTTCCGGAGATGGAGGCACCTGCTAATTGGCGCACAACATAAGGTGCAAGTGTGCACTGACCACAAGAACCTAGAGTATTGGAGGACGGCACGAGTGCTCAACCAACGGCAAGTGAGATGGGCCCAGGAGTTCTCCAAATTTAACTTTGAGATTAGTTACGTGCCAGGCCCAGAGAACATTAGGGCGGACGCTCTCTCACGCAAACCTGAATATTTGGAGGGGAGGGGCACCCGAAGAGAGACATGTCATTCCAGAAGACCGCTGGGTGTGTGGGCGGCATTGGTGGGACAAAGAGAACTGGTAGAGGAAACAGAGAATGATGAATACGCCCAGAATAAGCTCAGAGGTCTTAGGGGTGATGGAGAGGAACCAGGGGTTTTGAGGAAAGAAATGGAGCTTTGTATTACAAAGGGGCACTGTATCTCCCTGAAGGAGAGATAAGGGCGAGGGTACTCAAGCAGTTGCACGACAGCCCTACGGCGGGGCATTTTGGACAACACCAAACCATGTGGTTGGTCACCAGGGAATTTTGGTGGCCTAAGGTGAGGGAAGATGTACGTGAGTATGTAGAGAGGGTGCGAGCAATGCCAGCGAGCCAAAGGGGAAAGGCGGGCGCCGGCGGGGCTATTAGAACCCTTACCAACCCCAGAACGACCTTGGGAGGCAGTGTCGATAGATTTTATGACTGATCTGGCCGAAGTCCAAAGGGAAAACAGCCATCATGGTGGTGGTAGACCTACTAACAAAGATGTGCCACTTTGTAGCTTGCTCGCATGCAGTCACGGCGGAAGAGACAGCGAAGTTATTTGTAGAAAACATTTTTAGGTTGCACGGGGTGCCATTGAGGGTGGTCTCAGACCGAGGAAAACAATTTACTTCCAGGTTCTGGAGGAAGCTCATGAGCTTACTGCAGGTGGAGGTCAATTTTTCGACTGCCCGGCACCCTGAAACCAACGGGCAGGCGGAAAGAGCAAACGGTGTCCTCCAGCAATACCTGAGGTGTTATGTCAATGACAGAGAGAATGACTGGGTAGAAAAGTTGGCGCTGGCGGAATTTGCCTACAACAATGCCGAGAATGTGTCCACTGGGATGAGCCCTTCTTGGCTAATTATGGGTGTCATCCCAGGGCTTTCCCAGGGGGAGAGGGGAGAGATGGAGCGCCCCGGCAGCCGAGCATTTTGTGGAAGAAATGGAAGCAATCCATCGTCAGCTCCAACTCAACTTAGAAAGGGCGAAGGAAGAATACAAGAGGCAGGCAGACAAGAACCGAAGGGAAGGTGAAACCATAAGGGTGGGAGATAGGGTGTGGCTGTCAACCCAAGGGCTGCTGCTCAAAGGAGGTTGTAAGAAATTAAGACCCAGGAGGTTGGGTCCCTTTGAGGTCATTCAACAGGTCAACCCAGTGGCTTTCAGGCTCCGGTTACCCAACCACATGAAACTGCACCCAGTATTTCACAGGTCGTTACTGTCACCGTACGAAGGGGGACGAGAAGGGCTGGCCACTCGGGACCGGGTCGTAGAAGAAAGAGAATGCAGCAGCCATGTGGCAGAAATCCTCGACGCCAGGTGGAAGGGGGATCAGGTGGAGTATTTGGTAGCGTGGGAAGGAGAACCGGAGTCAGAAAACACTTGGGTAATGGCTGAAGATATCAATGACGAGGTATTGATAGAAACGTTCCATCAAAGGTTCCCAAGGAAACCTCAGCCTGTGGAGAGGTTCCGGAGGGAATACTTTGGGACCACTGATGAAGGGGAGGAGTTGGAAGGATTCCCGGACTCGGAAGGGGAAGGGGAGATGGACTCTGAGGAGGAGGTGTACTTCGAGACCAGGAACCGCAACAGGTTGAGAGAAGTGTTCGAGACATCGGAAGATGAAGGAAGTTCATTCCGGGTTTTGCCTCCTCACCGCCCGTAGAGGAGGGGGCGAGAGGGGGTGAAGGGGGCCCTGGAGGGGAGGTGGATGTCAGGGAACTGCCATCGGACGGAAGGGAGGTGAAAGGGCTCACACAGGTTGGGAGAGACGCAGCAGCTGAAGAGGGAACCAGCAGGGAGGTGAAAGGGCTCACACAGGTTGGGAGAGACGCAGCAGCTGAAGAGGGAACCAGCAGGGGGAGAGGAGCTGAGCTGGAGGGATGGCTCAGAGACACTTCCAGCGAAAACAGTGGGGAGGTTTCAGGACCTCCTGTAAGAACACCCACTCCTCGCCGGAAACTGTCACGCAGAGATTCCAGAAGACGTGTTTCCGTTAAGGAGCTTTTATGTTGGAAGCGATTACGAAAGCAACCACTGTCGGAATCTGCTAGTGACTAGAGTAGCCATGTCTGAGGGGCTCCGTCACAGACAGAGGTTTGTGGACTTGAACAAACTCTGAGGGGATACGATTTTACGCACAAGCAGCTCATCATCCCATCACAGGTGCGGAAGGGAAAGATTTTCACAAAGCTGGACCTAAGGGGGGCGTACAACCTGGTACGAATAAGGAAGGGGGATGAATGGAAAACCACTATGTTCACCCCTTTAGGGGCATTTCAATATTTGGTTATGCCCTTCGGCCTACAAGCAGGCTCCGCAACATTTCAACCGCTTATGAACCACGTCCTGGGGCCTTTGCTTTACAAGAATTGTGTGGCCTTTTAGACGACGTGTTGGTGTATTCTGGAGAATGAGGAGCAGCATGTGAGAGACGTCAGAGAAGTGTTGAGCAGGCTGCAAGCCAACCAGCTGTGGGTGAAACTGGAGAAGTGTCAGTTTCATAGCAAGGAGGTGGAACTCCTGGGGTATCGCCTGTCAGACAAGGGATTGGCCATGGATCCCGGCAAGGTCCAGGCGGTGCTGGAATGGAAAACACCCAAAACAAGGAAGGATGTGCAGAGGTTCCTAGGATTTGGGAACTTCTATCGTAAGTTCATCCGAAACTTTGCCCACCTGACGGCGCCCATCACGGACTGTCTCAGCAGTAAGAAGAAGTTCGTTTGGACTGAGGAGGCGGAGCGAGCATTTGAGGAACTAAAAAGGGCCTTCGCCTCGGAACAACAACTCCTGCATGTGGATTTACAAAAACCGATGAGAGTGGAAACTGACGCATCAGACAGAGCGAATGGGGCGCTGCTTCTGCAGCCAGGGAAGAAGGAGTCAGAGTGGAGACCGTGTGCCTTTTTTTCGCGAAAGCTGAACAAATCCGAGAGGAACTACACGGTGTATGACCGAGAACTACTAGCCATTCATGAGGCGTTCCGGCGAGGGAGGCACCTGCTAATTGGCGCACACCCTCAGGGGCAAGTGTGCACTGACCACACGAACCTCGAGTATTGGAGGACGGCACGAGTGCTCAACCAACGGCAAGTGAGATGGGCCCAGGAGTTCTCCAAATTTAACTTTGAGATTTGTTACGTGCCAGGCCCAGAGAACATTAGGGCGGACGCTCTCTCACGCAAACCTGAATATTTGGAGGGGGAGGGAGCACCCGAAGAGAGACATGTCATTCCAGAGGACCGCTGGGTGTGGGGCGGCATTGGTGGGACAAAGAGAACTGGTAGAGGAAACAGAGAATGATGAATACGCCCAGAATAAGCTCAGAGGTCATAGGGGTGAGGGAGAGGAACCAGGTGGTTTCGAGGAAAGAAATGGAGCTTTGTATTACAAAGGTGCACTGTATATCCCTGAAGGAGAGTTAAGGGGGAGGGTACTCAAGCAGTTGCACGACAGCCCTACGGCTGGGCATTTTGGACAACACAAAACCATGTGGTTGGTCACCAGGGAATTTTGGTGGCCTAAGGTGAGGGAAGATGTACGTGAGTATGTAAGAGGGTGCGAGCAATGCCAGCGAGCCAAAGGGGAAAGGCGGGCGCCGGCGGGGCTATTAGAACCCTTACCAACCCCAGAATGACCTTGGGAGGCAGTGTCGATAGATTTTATGACTGATCTGCCGAAGTCCAAAGGGAAAACAGCCATCATGGTGGTGGTAGACCTACTAACAAAGATGTGCCACTTTGTAGCTTGCTCGCATGCAGTCACGGCGGAAGAGACAGCGGTTATTTGTAGAACACATTTTTAGGTTGCACGGGGTGCCATTGAGGGTGGTCTCAGACCGAGGAAAACAATTTACTTCCAGGTTCTGGAGGAAGCTCATGAGCTTACTGCAGGTGGAGGTCAATTCTTCGACTGCCCGGCACCCTGAAACCAACGGGCAGGCGGAAAGAGCAAACGGTGTCCTCCAGAAATACCTGAGGGGTTATGTCAATGACAGAGAGAATGACTGGGGAGAAAAGTTGGCGCTGGCGGAATTTGCCTCCAACAATGCCGAGAATGTGGCAGCAGGGATGAGCCCCTTCTTGGCTAATTATGGGTGTCATCCCAGGGCTTTCCAAGGGGGAGATGGGGGAGAGATGGAGGCGCCCCGGCAGCCGAGCATTTTGTGGAAGAAATGGAAGCAATCCATCGTCAGCTCCAACTCAACTTAGAAAGGGCGTAAGGAAGAATACAAGAGGCAGGCAGACAAGAACCGAAGGGAAGGTGAAACCATAAGGGTGGGAGATAGGGTGTGGCTGTCAACCCAAGCGGTGCCGTTCACAGGAGGTTGGAAGAAATTAAGACCCAGGAGGTTGGGTCCCTTTGAGGTCATTCAACAGGTCAACCCAGTGGCTTTCAGGCTCCGGTTACCCAACCACATGAAACTGCACCCAGTATTTCACAGGTCGTTACTGTCACCGTACGAAGGGGGACGAGGAGGATGGCCACTGGGACCGGGTCATAGAAGAAAGAGAATGCAGCAGCCATGTGGCAGAAATCCTCACGCCAGGTGGCAGGGGGATCAGGTGGAGGATTTGGTAGCGTGGGAAGGAGAACCGGAGTCAGAAAACACTTGGGTAATGGCCGAAGATATCAATGACGAGGTATTGATAGAAACGTTCCATCAAAGGTTCCCAAGGAAACCTCAGCCTGTGGAGAGGTTCCGGAGGGAATACTTGGGACCACTGATGAGGGGGGAGGAGTTGGAAGGATTCCCGGACTCGGAAGGGGAAGGGGAGATGGACTCTGAGGAGGAGGTGTACTTCGAGACCAGGAACCGCAACAGGTGGAGAGAAGTGTTCGAGACATCGGAAGATGAAGGAAGTTCATTCCGGGGTTTTGCCTCCTCACCGCCCGTAGAGGAGGGGGCAAGAGGGGGTGAAGGGGGCCCTGGAGGGGAGGTGGATGTCAGGAACTGCCATCGGACGGAAGGGAGGTGAAAGGGCTCACACAGGTTGGGAGAGACTCAGCAGCTGAAGAGGGAACCAGCAGGGGGGTGAAAGGGCTCACACAGGTTGGGAGAGACTCAGCAGCTGAAGAGGGAACCAGCAGGGGGAGAGGAGCTGAGCTGGAGGGATGGCTCAGAGACCCTTCCCGCGAAAACAGTGGGGAGGTTTCTCGACCTCCTGGAAGAGCCCCAACTACTCGCCGGAAACTGTCACGCAGCGAGTCCAGAAGAGGTGTTTCCGTTATGGTGCTTTTTTGTTGGACGCGATTACGAACGCAACCACGGTCGGATTCTGCTTGTGCCTAGCGGACCCATGTCGGAGGGGCTCCTCAGACAGACAGAGGTTTGTGGACTTGAACAAACTCTGAGGGGATACGATTTTACGCCCAAGCCGCGAATCATCC